CAAGATCTTACTGACATCGATAGAGAACAGCCCGTCGCAAACAGCTCTAACAGCCCACGTGCTGTTCTTCCAGTGGGTCCTATCATAGGCTAAAACGAAGAGAGAATTTTACTCACATGGACAGAATGTGAAGAGGTATAGATTTGAAATATGCTTCAGTTTGCTGTTAATATAAAAGGCATGAAAAGCAGCTGTGAGCAAAAACTTGGATGGAAAATTAAACCAGGGTCAGGTCTTGTCATCAGTTAATAATTGGGACAAGCACAGTGCAGTACTAAACGGTCACGGCGTTCCCTTAAGCGGTTTCTGCTAAAGGGTGATTTACTTTTTAAAAAAGCTACTGCAAAGAAATTTGACGTGGAGGTCTGGACATACTTTGCTGGCAGTATGCCAGCAACATTCCAGTTCCCTGGATAATCCCAGCTATGTGTGTAAGACTGAGGTTCAACAGAAGTGTAAGCCTCTGGTTAAACAAGAAGATAAATACAGGTCAAAGAAGTACACGACGTATAGAGTTCCTCAGGGTGGACAGCTATATTAGCGCTCCTAATCTAATTTACAGATTAGTTATGTAATTTACGTCCTACTTGAAAGAACTGACATTTTTGATCTTCTGGTTATCTTTCAATGATGCAGCACATTGGGTTGAACATTGCTTTCTACAGCGTGAAAAAAGCAGTGTTTTTAGGAGCTGACTGGATGTACGATTTTTCCCTACATTTTAAGTAATCTTTGTATTTCAAAACAGAATTCCACACAAGTGTAACAGCATGAGTGAACTTGAAATAAAAACTGCATATAGTTCCCTAGAGGTACTGTAACTGATCATCACTGTCAAGTGATGCGGTAAGTTTCTCCTGGACAATAAATTTCAATCGGCAAACATGAAAAATCATGGACACTTTTCCCTATTAATGTTTCAAGGTTTTTCTGTGGGGTGTATAACAAAAGGTTCACACAAGGACGAGTGATAGAAGAATGTTTTAGAAAATAAAATTAGCAATTATTTTAGAAAGAGGGAAAAAGGTAAAAATATCTTTAAAGTTAAGAAGTGTGTGTTATACTTATTCATGAGTAGAGTTTCTTGAGAGCATCGCAAAAGCGAGTAACATTTCTAGAGAATTTAGAACTGATTAGGAATTTAGTATGTAGTAAACTCCTAGTTATAACTGGAATGTTATACTCACATAATTGGCAATTGCTGGACAGGTAAAGAATTTGGGAGGACACAAACATTGAAATTACAGGGTGAATGATTTGTTCAGTGGGTATTAGGAAAGCAAGAAAGGAAGCCAATATCTTGTTCCACAGAGAAAGAGGCATAAGAAGGAAACAAAATGGATGTGAAAATATAAAATTAAAAGAATGCTACTTTTTGACCCAAGAAATACTCTTAAAAAGTATTTCTCTAAAGGAAATGGAGGAATTAATTTTTTCATAAATTGGAATACTCTAGAGATAAGGTCGGAATAGGCTATATTTCTTCCAATAGTATTTAATTTAAAAAATACTGATACTGTGCAACCTATATTCTAGGTAATGTTCTAAATACTTTAAAGCTTTGATTTCATTTAGTCTTCAGAACACTTTATAATATACATATTATGTATAATGTATAGAGTGGAAAATAATGCATAGAGAAATTCATAATTGCCTAAGGTCACGTAGCTAGTGTGTAGCAGGAGTGCGAAGGCTGCTCTTACACTGTCCTCTAGAGTGGATCTTCAGTAAAATGGTCTGTACCTGGTTCTGCCAAGGACACACCTAATTTTTATAGAGGGAGTGAGGGAAGAACATTGGTGAGGACCTTCTTCCACTACAACTCACCATTATTATCAGCAAGTATCAATTACTGTATCTCTCATGTCGGTACTTCAATTTCTTCCATTTGCCTTGCGCTTGAATAATCATGTCTCACTCTAGTATATGCTTCCATCTACGCTTTCCTGGGTACAATTTCTTTAGCATCTTAGTGCGATATGGTGAGTTTCATGAAAAATAGAATGGCGATGTCGTGGAATTCCGACCAATTCCTGAGTCCTTTCATGATCTTAGGGTTATTAGGAAGGGATGATCTACACTGCATATTTGAGTTAACTTGTTGCTCAAACTAGGTTATATGACTCTTGAGAAAACTCCCATGTTTTCACTAAGAAACATACTGCATCTGTTAGCTACATACTTTGCATTTAAAACTCACATCAAGCTAAAAGCAAGCTTAAAATCTTTAATCTGCCAGTGAGAAATGTGATGCTCAGAGAAATAATTTTTGCATGTTTTCATCATTTTGTAGGTGTTTTGATCAAGGCAGGAAATACTTGATATTTTCATGAAAAAAAAATCCTGGCCATTTCTCACGTATCGTATTCTCCACAGAGAACATATTCATCATGGTGTGGGACAGTCAGGAGAATCAGACCTTCGACGCAGACTTCATCTTGCTGGGAGTCTTCAGTAACAGCCCCACCCACACCTTCCTCTTCGCTCTGGTCTTGGGCGTCTTCTCAGTGGCCTTCATGGGTAACACTGCCATGGTTCTCCTCATCTGCCTGGACTCCCAGCTCCACACCCCCATGTACTTCCTCCTCAGCCAACTGTCCCTCATGGACCTCATGCTCATCTGCACCACTGTACCCAAGATGGCCTTCAACTACTTGTCTGGAAAGAAATCCATCTCTCTGGCAGGTTGTGGGACCCAGATATTCTTCTATGTGTCCCTGCTTGGAGCAGAATGTTTCCTGTTGGCTTCGATGGCCTATGATCGGTATGTTGCCATTTGCCAGCCACTACGATACCCAGTTCTCATGAGCCAAAAAATCTGTGGTCTGATGGCTGCTGCTTCTTGGATTCTTGGCTCACTTGATGGTATCATTGAAACTGCGGTCGCGTTGTCCTTCTCGTATTGTGGCGCCCGGGAAATACCTCATTTTTTCTGTGATGTACCCGCCCTCCTTACTCTCTCGTGCGATGATACTTTGATGTTTGAAAGGGTGATTTTTATTTGCTGTGTAATTATGCTTCTCTTCCCCGTAGCAGTAATCGTTGCTTCTTACACTTGTGTCATCCTGGCTGTCATTCACATGGGGTCTGGGGAGGGTCGCCGCAAAGCTTTCGCTACGTGTTCCTCCCACCTCATGGTGGTGGGAATGTACTATGGAGCAGCCATGTTCATGTACATGCGGCCCACATCTTCTCACTCACCCGCCCAGGACAAGCTGGTGCCGGCCTTCTACACCATCCTCACCCCCATGCTGAATCCCGTCATCTACAGCCTCCGCAGCAAAGAAGTGGCCAGAGCATTCACAAAGATATTAGGGAAGGGCAAGTCTGGAGAGCAAAGTGACTAATTATTTGCTTTTTTCTCTGTGTACTCGGCTTTACACTTAAATTTATGTATCAAACCAACACAATCCAGCACCCAATATTTACCCACTTTTTGTAGGCAATCACATAAGATTAAGAAACTGAAAAAAAAAAACTGTTTCCTTTCTTGCTTGTTCAAATAGTTCTTATTTTTTTGTTTTTGTTAGTTGAATGTACGGCTATAAGTAAATATCTATGCAAAAAATGCACAACTGTTTTTTTTTTTTTTTTTTTTTTTTTTTTTTTTTTGAGACAGAGTCTCACTGTGTTGCCCAGGCTAGAGTGTCGTGGCGTCAGCCTAGCTCACAGCAACCTCCAACTCCTGGGCTCAAGCGATCCTCCTGCCTCAGCCTCCCGAGTAGCTGGGACTACAGGCATGCGCCACCATGCCCGGCTAATTTTTTCTATATATTTTTAGTTGTCCAGTTAATTTCTTTCTAATTTTAGTAGAGACGGGGTCTCGCTCTTGCTCAGGCTGGTCTCGAACTCCTGAGCTCAAACGATCCGCCCGCCTCGGCCTCCCAGAGAGCTAGGATTACAGGCGTCAGCCACCGCGCCTGGCCTATACTTTGTTGTTTTTAATTTTTTTTATTTCAAAATATTACAGGGGTACAAATGTTTAGGATACATACATTGCCCTAGCCCAACCCGAGTCAGAGCTTCAAGCGTGTCCGTCCCCCAGATGGGGTTCACTGCACCCATTACATGTGTATATAGCCATCCCCTCCTCCCCGTCCCATCTCCCCAACTCCCGAGAATGTTATTACTATATATGCACTTCGGTGTTGAGCAGTTAGAACCAATTTGATGGTGAGTACATGTGCTGCTTGTTTTCCCATTCTTGGGATAATTCACTTAGTAGAATGCGTTCCAGCTCTCTCCAGGAGAATACAAGAGATGCTAGATGACCATTGTTTTTTGTGGCTGAATACTACTCCATGGTATACATACACCACATTTTATTAATCCACTCACATATTGATGGGCACTTGGGTTGTTTCCACATCTTTGCAATTGTGAATTGTGCTGCTATAAACATTCGGGTGCAGGTGTCTTTTTCATAGAGTGTCATTTGTTCTTT